GTAGTATATCTCAATTTTGTGTACTTGTCTTACACACTGTCTCTTTGAATACCATTGTAGTGTCACTACAGTACTGTACAGTACAGTCACTAACAGTGTATAAGTGAAAAGCATTTTGTTATTGTTGTTGTTGTTGTCAACTAAAAATGTATCAATCGTTTGGTTAATATATATATTATATATATTTGAAAGATAATGTCAAATAAGTTTGTTGTTATTGTTTGTTATTATTTGCATACATCACTGTCATCCCACATCTAAACTATTTATTATTAAAACGATAACATTATATATATATATACTGTATATATACAGTATATAACAATTATTATACTGTATATATGAAAAAGGGATAACAAATTTTAAATTGTAAGTCAAATTTATTATAGTTTATAATATTTTATTTTTAGCTAAAAAAAGTTAACTTTTGCTATAAAAATGTTTGTTGTGTTTAATATGTAAACGTGTTTTTCTCATATATTGTGTATAATATAGTTTATATATATTAATACTGTATAACCTTTTGCTTAATGAAACTTAACTTTTTTTGTTGTTTAATCAAAAAACTTCTTTATTTTGTCGGTTGTGTTATCTAACCATAAAAGTTAATGAAAGTTATAACTGAAATAAATAAATAAATAAAAGTATCGATAAATATAAAGAAAAATATTTTACTACAGTATATATATGTATTAGGTTTATATGTGTGTTATCATCACATTTATGTCAATATCTTAATACAGTACTGTATTTATACTATAATATGTTGACAGTAAAATGATTGCTACAAAAATTTTTTTTATTAGTATTATTATTATTAGTTTTACTTATATATTTTCTCTTTACTATTACTTTTTTACAGTGAAATATATTTTCTGATACAATGTTTTTTCTCTTTTATGTCTACTTTATTTGACAATCATTTGATGTTATCAATAGAGAGACAGAGAGAGAGAGAGAGAGAGAGAGAGAGAGTAATTCATATCTCAGGAATCCTGAGTCAGGATATAATATAATAAAAATCTTAATAAAAAGTTTTTTCATATCATAAAAGTATAAATAATTTTTGTTTTGTTTCATGTCTTTTACAATTAACCGACTGTTTATTTATGACTTAATTTTTATTATTATTATGGAAAAATTGCCTATCTTTTAACATCGCCTTATTATTAATAACATATATATATATTTACTGTATATTAAATGACAGATAGATATAGTTTATAAGTATTTTTTTCTGGCACTTATATAAAACAAATTATATATTGCCCATTTGATATATAGTGATTGTTAAAATTCAAGTATTTTACTTGATATATATCATAAACTAAGTGTATTATAATATGCTATATTACAGTATATATCATGTGTTAAATAAACTTTTTGAGAAAAAATATTTTTATAATATAAGATATATATAAATATGATTGCTGTTATTATACAACAATAATATAACTATCAGTACCATTTCTAGTATATTATATACAGTATATATTATATAATATATATATGTATATACTCGTATAATATACTATATGTGTTTACACTATATATATATGTGCCCATAAATTGTTGCCCTTTTTCATGCAAATTGTTTATAAATAAAAACTTGAAAAGTAAACATTTTAGCGCCTTATCAATACATACAAAACAAGTAAATGTATATAATATTTATATAAATAAAATACACTATAGATTATATTTATCATATGTAATAGCCTGTAGTCAATAATAAACAGTTTGAAAAATCCAGAGTACTATTAAAATAAATTGTTATAAATATTTTTGTTGCGCCTATTTATACACAAATATTAGCTGAAAAATTATATAAATAAAAATTTTTGTTCAATATTTACTGCACTGTAACAACACATGTAACTGAAAAACTATTTTAATTATCAAATCATTGGGCGAAAGGGCTGTTAGTTAATGATTTTTGCAATACATTAGCACATATTGTACAGTACATACACAACCCTTCATTACTAAAGCAAAAAAAAACTCATTTTATCACTAATTTAATTGTCATTCACAACAACTAATAATATAAATGTGATATTAATAGTACCGGTGTTTGTGTTGGGATCTAATAATAAGGATCTAAACGTTTTGTTAAATAATTAATTATTATGTCTTTGTTTTGATATCTTTCCCCTCGAAAACTAAATTTTATTTTCATTTTCCATATATTGTTTTTGGAGGATAACATCTGCTCTCAAATAACACATTATTATACAGTATATTATAGATATTATATATATTTATATTAATATTATAGACACACCAACCAACCAATTGATGGCTTTTTGCATTTGTTTTTCAATATTTGTTTGTTTGTAAGAGTTAACTAAATTAATATTACCGGTCATATTTAGTTTATTAGTTTTTCACTGTATTATTATTATTATTAATAATAATATTATTATTATACGATATTTATTAAATAATAGAGTCATTTGTTTAATAGATTAGTATCTGAAATGATAGCGAAATGATAGCAAAAACAAAACACAATTCATTTCATTCATTCATCCATTCATTACTCCCAAACAACAATATGTATGATATATCTCATTATACAAACAATCTATTGATAAAAATATGTTATGTTATCGCAATTTTTGTATTCATTGCACTATATTTGTTTAATTGAAAAAATAAACAGTTTTTCTAGTATTATTATTATTTTTTATTTGCATTTAATTTATACTTAATTTCAAGCAAAGCAATGTTGAAATATAATTAAAGGCTTTTCACAAACAAACTGCAGTTTGTGTGAAAAGAGAGAGAGAGAGAGAGAGACTAACAATAAAAACACGATTATTTCAAATGTTAATTAAAAAAGTGGAGATAAAAAAAATTTGCAAATTAAAACTGTTTCCAAATGAATATTTGTTATTATTATTGTTATTACAATTATTATTATTTATTATTGTCTCTGTTATGTTGAAATGCTTGGTTAAAGTTAGTTGTGGCCTTTCATACTGTAGTTTATAATAATAATAAAAAAATATTTCTATTATTTAGATAAAAATGATTAATTAGATAGGTATCTTTAATGAGTAATAATATTAATGCAATTTTAACAGTGAAATGTGTGTTTTTAAAATTGCATAAAATATATTCAAAACATATATATATTCTCGACTATACAGTACAWATATATCGGTTAAAAAATGCAGTTATCTATCAAAGAGAGAGAGAGAGAGAGAGATTGAAAAATTATAATGTATGATATACCATATAATAAATATTAATATATTGAATAAGTGAGATATATAGATAGATAGAGAAAATAACAAACAACAAAAAATTTTGAAAAAGCAATGAATAACTTAAATATTAATATTTATTTGATAAAAAAAGTTAATATAAAACATATCACACTATTTGTTTAGTGTGTACAATACATGATATTATGATATATTAATGGTGACCTTATTCCTATTGGCATATAATCATAATTGAAAATCTTTTTTTTAGTTGCAATTTGATTAACTATATTAAAATAATACATATCTTATTGCATTAGATAGTTGAAGCAAATCAACAACAAAAAATTATGTGCCTCTCAATATTGGGTTATACAGTCAATTATATTTTGTGTGTTAGTGAATGTGATTGAAAATTTGTTATTGCAATAAAGTTATTAATTTAGCCGTTTTAACATTAATTTTATTTTTATTGTCATATAATTTTTTATCACTCCATTTAATACTAAATGATTATTACTCGTTATTATTATAGTTATTATTTTTATTATTAATGACGATTAAATTATTGATATATACGTTAAATATACAGATATATGTTATAATTATTATATAAATTTATATACCGATATATTATCATACATATCATAATATCGATAATTGTCTGCCTTTTTTTAGTAACTAATAGTTGTCATTGCGTTTTGAAACACTATTACTCTATTATACTGTATATAAATTGTTAACACATTTATACAATAAATATGTTTTAGTTTCATTTACTTTGAGTGCTTTTTTCGCGATGATTATAATGATTGCATGATTGTGTATTTGAGGAGTGTTTGCCCAACAAATGTTGAGTTTTTTTAAGGTTAAGGTATGAAAAATCCATACCTATCCATAATTTTTGCACACCTTTCCCACTTTTTTCAGTACATATATAATGGCATTTATTTTATCGAGAGRTTTGGTTAGCTCTCCTCTCTTTCCTAACATTTCCTCTAATTAATTCCGAGTCACACAACACATATCAATTCAAATGGTTAKTAAACGATTAGCGCAGCGATTGTATAACAAATAATACTGTTTATAAATATTAGTCACTAAAACTATTTATCTCTCTCTCTCTCTCTCTCTCTCTCTCTCTCTCTCTCGTGTTGTTATGATATTTGCAATTACTATACAATACTGAAAAAAATGTTTTCATCTGCTAATAGTATTTTAAAAGTATTTTTTCTGAACTGAAAAAAATTGTTTCGGCATTTCAATTGAAAAAATTATATAAACAGAGAGAGAGAGAGAGAGAGAGAGAGAGAGAGAGAGAGAGAGATTATAGTAAGTAGAGGGAGAAACCTATTTTGTAAATTAAAATAAATACAAATAAAACTATTTATATAATTGAATAGGTCTTGACTTATTTTAAAGGAAATGTGCGATTGATATGAATGACTATAATAATAGCTGTCATAATAATAATATAATAATAATAGTAATAATAATACAATTAAAAAACATTTTGCTGTATATCATTACAATTACAATTCAGTAAATCATTTGTCATTTGGTATTTTATAGTAACAAAAAACACTGTTATTATTATTAGTATTAGTATTGCCTCACAATTTGTAGCAACGATTAGCAGCAAAACATTTGTCACTAAACATATCGCTTGTGTTATCGCTTGAAAAAGTTAGCGATTATTAACACAATTATCGGTTAAATGTTTCATCAAAAGCCATTGCATTAGTCGACTAAAAGATAGCGACTCTAACCATAAAGAGATAGCGAAGAGAGGGGGAGAGGAGGTTATGTCTGGCCTCTGGAAGTGGTGCTAAGGGTGGAGACAAACACTGCTAATATCCCTAAAGCCCTGCTCTCTCTCTCTCTCCTCTCTTGTGTCTGTCGTTTCTCTCTTTATTTATGATTTTCACAACTCATGTGAATAAGCACTCAAAACAAAGTCTTGTGTGTAGTGTATGTGTTGTGTCTGTGAACAGACTGCCAGAGACACTGAAGAGAGTTATATTAGAAAAAGAGAGAGAAAAAAGAGAAACACAAATACAAGTCATCTCTGGTATAGTTTTGTTGTCGATTTTCTGTAGTAGTAGTGGTGTTGTTGATGATAGTGTCAGTATTATTATTATTATTATTATTATTACTGTTGAAAGTGGTGATCGACAATAACAACTACAGACAGTGTGTGTGTGTTTGGTTATGAAACAGATCGGCAACAATGAGAGGACCCTATTATATAACAATTATGGATCATCTTTATGACCATTTAAAGTCAATCAAGAGCTTCCTTATTATGAGATCTAACAACCATTAGGTATGGGGTTATAGTAGTGGTAGTAGTAGTTGTTGTTGCTGTTGATGATTGCGGTGCAGATCTGATTGTTGTTTGTCGTTGAYTATAATATTTTTTTAGCGACAACTCTACCATAAAAAAAAGTAATTGAATTGAAAATAACTTTTTTCACACACAAAACACTCTTTCCATTGTTAAACTAATTTTATATATATATTATATAATAATGGTTTATAGCAATTAAATTGTATATAAATATATATAATTTAAATAGACTGTAACTCATATAATAATACATTTTTTTTGTTAAATAATTTATTTTATTTTTAAAAAAATCATTTTCAGAGACCAACAGAAATGCGTCGAAAGAGACGACAACTGCTGCGCTCAAGAATTGACTGAATAATTGATTGATTAATTAATTTAATTTAATTGTGTTTTATTAATGCAAACATTTTAGTGTGTTTTTAAAAAAAGTGTTTTAAAAGTGATATTTTAACCACAAGTTTGTCATCATTTGAATTTTGGTAATGCGTTKGCAAGTTATTTGCAGCTATGATGTCAAACGACAAACATTTAATACTATATAAGAGATACCGATTTCGGTAGAGAAAAAAAAGAGTTTTAGCGGACACACAATCCTAGGATTAAGTGATCCACTGCTGCTTCCAATGCTGTTAATTAACGGACAGTCATTGTTGTCGTCATTATTGCCGTGTCCTAAGTCATTGTCATCGTCACTGTCATCGCCGTTAGCTGTCATCAAATTACTATCACTCGTCATATTTATTATACTTCATAGCAATCATGTTATTAGTGAGACAATCGCCGACGAGAACGCCGTCGATACGTTAGTGACAACCGGCCCAATCGATGGCCAATTACCGACAGTACAATCACTGCAAGACAACGATGAAGAGGAACCAATTGTCGACCCGACGGTGGCCTCGATTAGTGACACAGAGTCTAGTTTTTCATTTACCCGTCARTCATATAATGTGTCGATACCGGAGAACTCGTTCGGCAAAGTATACGCTACATCCCACCAGAAGATTGGTATTTACATCACAGATCCAGCGCTTGTTGTCCGGTTTAAGATAGTGGGCGGCGATTATGACAAGATATTCAAAGCCGAAGCCCGACATGTCGGCGATTTTTATTTTCTACTTATAAGACTGCGCTCAGGCTTTACAAATGTCCTCAACAGGGAATACCGTTCATCGTATGACCTGAGAATTCGGGCCACAATAACATCTCTACGTAATGATGCGCTACGATTGAAGACCAAGACAATTGTCAACGTTTTGATTACCGATCGCAACGATTTATCGCCATTTTTCTATCCGGAGAACTATGCGGTCACTGTTAACGAAGATATACCTATCGATAGTAGTATTGTTAGAGTATCGGCTGTTGATCCAGACATTGGACTCAACGGCGAAATATATTATAGTCTTTTAGATGAATCGTTGACGTTTGCAATACACCCGACAATGGGAATCCTATCAGCTACCCGTCCGCTCACACTATCGGCCGACAGAAATCATCCTCATGTTCATCATTTGACGGTAGTGGCCAAAGACAGGGGCATTCATCACTCGGATCAAGTGTTAGAGACATCGAAAGCCAAAGTGGCCATTACTGTACTGTCGGTCAACAGACATGTGCCCCGAATAACTGTCAAACAACACAGCGCACTRTCGACCCGATTGCCACTGAACCCAATCTATGCCGTGGTTCATGTGACCGACGACGACTCGGGTATTTACGGCGAAATATGTCACGTCAGTATTGTTGATGGCGATGATAGACATCTGTTTATGATAAGCAACTCCTCGTCAAACGACTATAACATAGAACTGATGAGGCCTTACCTCAATGAAAGTGCCACCACTTCAGTGTCAGTATTTCATTTGATTATAAAAGCCATCGATTGCGGCGGCGGTTTCTCCACACAACCGATTGTCGTGACTCTGGACAGTGCCAAACATGGATCACCAAAGTTTGATTCCGATTACTATTACAGCGAAATTCATGAAATGTCTTTAGTGGGCACACAAGTGATAAAATTGACGGCAACTATCGTCGGCAGYCAAAAGCAGAGTATGACAGCTAATCTGAGATATAATATTCTTGACGGCAACTCTGACCAAATGTTTGGCATTACGGCCAACGGTGTTGTGTTCATAAGGGAACCATTAGACAGAGAGACACAATCCAAGTATATGTTGGTGATCGGCGCTCAGATAGACTCGACCCGAGTAACCAAAACTCATCTGCACATCGATGTTATGGACGACAACGACAACTATCCTGTGTTTAACATCGAAAAGACTCAGATCTCTGTTGCCATCAACGAAAACAAACCGAACGGCAGCTCAGTATTTCGCGTCACTGCCAGCGATCTCGACTCGGGTGACAACGGTCTGGTCACTTACGAGTTAACTTCACCAATTGGTCAATCCATMCCATTCACAATAGATCATTCCACGGGTGAGATTAGATCCACCCGAACACTAGACTACGAGTCTGGTGCCCATCACTATCAGCTACTTATTCGGGCGTCCGATATGGGCGAACCATTTCGTCGACAGTCGCAGATTGCGTTGAATTTGACACTGAAAGACGTGAACGATCATCGACCACAGTTTGAGAAGAACAACTGCACGGCCAACATTCCCGTCGCCACTAAGCCGTGGACCGAAATCATGACATTTTCGGCCATCGATCTCGACGAGGGAAGCGTTGTCTTGTATAAGATGTTTACACCAGCGGCTGACAAATGTTTTAATCTGAATGAAAATACCGGTATTTTGCGACTAACATGCAATCTAAAGGACGAATTGGCGAAAGACTTGTTGGGTGCACGCAATTGGACGCTCGCGATCTCAGCTACTGATGGCCACTATTTTTCCGACACCTCCTATGTTCGGGTTATAGTTGTTGACGATAATGACAGCGCTTCTAACACCAAAAAACCTGTGAAAAATCACATCAGAGTCGAGTGTAACGATTTAGCCGTTGCACAGAAGTTGACAGCATTTATGATTCAACGACAACAACAGCAACAGGAAAACGACATACAATATGACTCAATTGATAACAATTTTATTATTGATGGCGACGAAGAACTCGATTTAATTCACAGCAAACGAAAGAATCGGAGGCCAGAGTTTGATCCAAACGCACCCAAAGAAATCTATATCGCGGAGAACACGGAAAAAGGTGCGAAAATAACAACATTAAAAGCCGATGATCCGGACCATGGCTTCGATGGTTTTGTCATATATTCACTGAATCTTCACGACCGACACAACCGCAGTCACTACAGTCACGACGTGGTCTTTAACATCGATCAGCTCACGGGTGATCTCTATGTGATCGACACATTGGACTACGAAAAACACTCTAAATATAAACTACACATTTCTGCCTGTGATTTGGCCAAAGAACAGCTCTGTGCTAATCACACCATTGTTGTGGTCATTGAAGATGTTAACGATAACAGTCCTCTGGTCGACAACTTTGTGTTTAATGTGTCCGAATCGGCGTCTAAGGGCTACATAATCGGTCAGATTTATGCCACCGATGAAGACTACGGCAATAATGCTTTGCTTCACTATTCTCTGAAAGGATATGAAGAGCTGTTCGCTATGAATGCAAAAAACGGAACGTTGACTCTTGAAAACGGTTTGGACAGAGAAGAGATCGATAAATACATACTGTATGTTACCGTTCATGACTCGGGTAGTCCATCACTGACATCAACGGCAACGGTGATCATTCACGTTGACGATGTCAACGACAATCCGCCAAATTTTTATGAGAGTTCATATGTGGTCAAAGTTCGCGAGGATATGCCGATTGGCTCACGTATTATGAAGATATCAGCCTTCGATGGTGATGAGGGAAAGTCCGGTCAAATACATTACACGATTGATAGCCAAAAGTTTTCAATCGACGAAATTACGGGTAATATTCGCATTCGGGAACAGTTGGACTTCGAACAGATGCAGATCTACAACATTACGGTCACCGCCAGAGATGATGGCGAGCCGTCGTTATCGTCGTTGGCTTCTATTGTAGTAGAAGTAGAAGATGTCAACGAAAACTATTATCCACCGAAATTTCCCGATATTGTAGCCACCGCTTCGGTAATTATTAGTAATGATTTAATTAAAATTAAAAGATTTAATTTTTGTAAATTTATATATTTAAAGGTGAGAGAGAACCTACCAATCGGTACGTTTGTAACACAAGTGAAGGCTGTCGACGAAGACAGTGATCTGCCTGTGATTTATCAGATTGTCGGTGGCGACGGTTTGGGCCGTTTCTCGATCGATAATAACGGCAATATCTACACGACAGTCGTACTTGACTGCGAAACCTATCCACACCATTGGCTGACAATTGTGGCTAAAGATCGAGCAGCTGTTCCGTTGACCGCATATTTAGAACTGTTCATATCGGTTGAAAATGAAAATGATTTACCGCCGCTGACCACCGAAACGTTTTACTACACTCGCATTCTGGAGAACGCATCCGTTGGTACACATCTGGTCAAAGTCGAGGCCAATGATCCGGATCTGAATTCCGAAACTGATACCAAAATCCGATTTCGAATTCTAAATGACGTGCCTTTCAGTATTGATGACAACGGTTTGATTGAGTTGAAGAGCAAATTGGACAGAGAATCGCAATCACGTTATGTAATAGACCTAGAGGTCAGTGAAGAGCACAACACAGACACCAATGCCGTTGTGGCCACTATGATGTCGCGAACACCCGTTATTGTCAACGTAATCGACGTCAACGAGTTTGAACCGAAAGCTATACAATCCATATACAGATGTCAGGCCTATAATGACATCTCACAGAAGACACCGGTTTGTCAGATCGTTGCCATAGATAAGGACGACGATGAAAACTGTGTCCTCCAGTATAAGATAATTGAGGGAAACGATTACAACTGGTTTTCCATTGACTCCTATAGTGGAGCCATATATACGGCCAAAGATGGCATTCCGAAAGGAGAGTACGACTACATTATATCGGTGTCCGATTGCGGACAACCGCGTCGGTCATCACAGGTTCGACTAATTTTACGAATTCTTTCGGCGAACAAAGATCGCAAAGACAACAAACAGCCAACGATCGAGATGTTGGACACCGAGGTGTCGATCAGCGAACGCGAACCCGTTAGCTATGCGGTCACTTTAATTAAAGCTTTCGATGAGGACAACGACCGACTCTGTTATCACATACTCGATGGCAATACTGGAAACACGTTTGCCTTCAAAGATGGCGGAGCACTGATTGTGGCTAAACCCTTGTCATACAAAATGGCCAATCGTTATAATCTTACAATTTTGATTACCGACGGTCTCCAGCCTTCTATTGTCAATCTGATTGTCAATTTGATCGACGTTTTCGACAGCAAAGTGATGTTTGTTGAGGACAGTTATACAGTGAATGTGTTGGAAAACATTACGAAAGGCAGTGATGTTCTTCAGTTGAGTGTCACCGACCGGGACATTGTTGGCGATGGTGTCATATTCTCCATCTATTCATCCTATTCGCCCGAAAGTCTCAAAAAGTTTGAAGTGGAGCCGTGGAGTGGAAAGATTAAAGTCAAGGAACAACTTGATTACGAGTCGGGCAAACATCACTTACTAGTCATTGAAGTGAGTAATTCGCGGCAAAAAACAACTACTGGACAGCATAATCGGTCGTTCGCGAAGGTGTCCATCAATATTATCGATGTTAACGACGAAACGCCGACATTTATATTGYCTCAGTTCGAGGCCAGTGTTGTCGAAACGGCAGCTATCGGTACGTCTGTACTGCTCGTACAGGCCATTGACAAAGACATCGGTAATAATGCAAAAATCAATTACTCGATAATCTCGGGAAACGTTGACAATGTATTCGATATCGACAAAGATCTCGGTTTCATATATCTCTCAAAACCTTTGAACGCCAGACAACAATCAGAGTATTATTTGGTTATCAAAGTGACCGACAAGGGTCAGCCACCATTGGCCAGCACTGCCAACGTTCACATATCGGTCACAATTCCCGATAACTCACCGCCAAAGTTTGAGGATAAACACTATACCATCGATGTAAACGAAAATGAAAAGATCGGAACCGTTATCATTGCGCTGAAGGCTGCGAACAGACAGTCGCTGTACTTCGAGATAGTTAGCGGTAATACTGACAACAAGTTTGCCATAAATGTTAACAATGGAGAGGTTTGGGTTAGAGATGTATTGGACTACGAAACCAAACAGAACTATACGCTAACAGTTTCGGCCACCAGTTTGTCGCGTATTAATGATACGACTCAACTGTTTATTAATGTCATTGATATCAACGATTGTGTCCCCTATTGGACACAAACAACATTTGTCGGACACATCCTGGAGTCRGCTTCAGTCGATAGTATTATACTCGACGCCAGCGATCAGCCACTGGTTGTCAAAGCCAATGACGACGACTCGATGCACAACTCAATACTTATCTACTCGATTGTCGAAGAAGTCGGTCGCAAGTATTTTTCAATTGAACCTCAAACCGGTGCCATAACTCTAGCCAAACGTATCGACTACGAGAAGCACCGGGAGTTAAACTTTACGGTATCGGTGGCCGACATGGGATTTCCCAGTTTAAAGGCCGAGACCACTGCCTTTGTACACATCGAGTGTCTTCCAGTCAATGATTGTCCACCTGTTCTGTCACTCACTCACTATCACTCAACAGTATTGCTTCCCACTTATAAGGATGTGATTATCACAAAGATATCGGCCACCGATTGTGACTTTGGCCGACACGACGAAACTCACGACCACTTTGTGTTCAGTTTGACGCCAATCACACAGTCTTCCGAAAAGAAGTTTGCGATAAACTCGACCTCAGGTTTGATTACGACAATGGATGAGAAGCTCACCGATGGTGTATACGAAATGGTTGTTTCGGTATTCGACGGCAAATTTACCACCGAAGCCAAAGTAACCATTACTGCTGAACCTATACCACGCAGTTCGTTGCGCTTCACACAAGACAAGTTTGTCGGACAAATCGCTGAAAATACCGTTTCAGTTAAGACAATACTCATGCCGACCATCGAAGGCCACAAACTCAACGAACACTTGTCATTCCGTATCCTAACTCCCACTCACTTGTTCCGTATCGCTCGGACCTCAGGTGCGATACTATCACGCGGTATACCCATTGACAGGGAGGAGAAGTCGCGCTTTGAACTTGTTATTGAAGTCAAATCGATGTTTGTTAAGACGCGAGTGGCGCACGTATTGGTGATTATCAACGTGGAGGACGTCAACGACAACAAACCACTGTTTGTAGGACAGCCCTACTATTTTGTATTCAACACTGATTTCCCGGTTGGCACCCAAATTGGTAAAGTTCAAGCAATAGATCTGGACGTCGGCTACAACGGAATGGTCAGTTACTCGATAGTGTCGGGCGATCCGAACAAACTGTTTGCAATAAGCAGCGATTTGGGACACATTTCGATGGCCCGATCGGCCAATCCGGCCAACGATGCGCTCAGTTATAATCTACTTATATCTGCCAAAGATTCGGGAACAGTAGCCCAACAATCGTTTGCCAACATTACCGTTAAGATGGTATCCGGRGGAATGCCTCTATTCAAACAACAGTATTATGCAATATCAGTGATCGAGAGTCACCCGCCGGCGGTTCCCTTTCTCACAGTCAATGCCGACAGTTCTCACGGAAGACAACTTATATATAGTATTATTGCCGGCAATGATAACGAAGAGTTTTCACTAGATTTTAATTCAGGTTTGTTTTGTTTGTTATTAATACTGTATTTAAAAAATAATAAATTTTTATAACAGTATTATTTCTAATTTAGTGTTTAATCTGATTATATTGTTGTGTTGTTATACAGTATATAGTATTTAATTTAAAATAACTTATAAATTATATGATTAGTAGTAGTTTTTAATGTGATTTATATTTTATTTTATTTAATTTATTTGTTTTTTCCCTTAAACTTATGTTTTATTCAATATGTTTGATATATAATCCTATTATTTTGGTGGTTGTGTTCACTACTTATTATTCTCGATATATCACACAAACAAAACAAAACATTTTTAAAAACTTATTTTTTCATTTGATTTGTTATTTTCCTGAATGTGAACATAAATTAAAAGATCCGACGATTAGTAGCGGTTTATGTGAGTATTATTCGCCTCTTGTATTGAAACCAAATGCTATTAACTACTATTACTACTACCTGTGCTTCGCATCATTTTTCATGCCTTTCCCTGTTTTTTGTTGTTGAATGCCTATAAAAACTTTATGATTTTTGTTTGCACTCAAAACATATATAACAAATTGCTTGCATTCACCCACACATATAATAATGCATTTTTTGATTATATACTACAATAATACTGTTTTTACTTGACATTGAAAAAAAACTTGAAGTTTAATAACTTTTCCAATTCAAATACCTTTCCTCTGATTAGGTATGATATCGGTTATCGAGAAACTGGATCGCGAGTCTATCAGTCAATACAATCTAATCATTTCGGGTACCGATTCAGTGTCCGGTGTCAGCGCTACCGTTCCACTTGTTATAACAGGTTTGTCATCAGAATATTCTCAAGAAATCTTAATTTACAGAATATTCTTAACATTTGTTGATCTCTTTTTATCTCATATCCCAGTGGACGACGCCAATGACAACCCACCGATGTTTACCAAATTTTCGTACAACGTTTCCATATCGGAATCTGCGCCCATCGGAGCACCTGTGGTTAAAGTTAGTGCTACCGATGCTGACACTGGACTTAATGCTAAACTTCAATATCAAATATTGGGCAACAAATCACACTTTTACGTCGCGCCCGACGATGGAAATATCTATCTGAAGATACCACTCGATCACGAGACTGAACGACTACACCATCTGACGGTTATGGCCACAGATTACGGCTCACCGGTGCTAACATCCACTGCTCACGTGTGGATTGAAGTACTCGATGTTAATGACAACAAACCGATTGTCGCGCCGACATTTGCGGCCACCATTGAGGACAACATCGAAAAGGGCGAGTTTGTCACCCGAATTGTAGCCAATGATCCTGATTCGGGTGATATAAACAAATTGAGATATCGAATATTGTCGGGCAACGAGTATTTGATTTTTGCAATAAACGACACGTCAGGTGTCGTAACCGTAGGAAATCTTAACTCACGGAAACACAAAAAGGTGGCCAAAAATTATTTTCTAAATATATCGGTCACCGATGGTGTCTATTCGGCCACAACTAGTCTCACCGTTACTGTAAAGCCGGCAAACAATAACTCGCCGAAGTTTACTCGTATATTCAACAATGTAGCCATTAGTGAACTGACGGCCACCGACTCATCCATTGCACAGTTGACGGCCGTTGACAGAGACGATGGCATCTATGGTCGCATCAATTACCATATTATCAATGAAAATGTCAAACGATATTTCACTGTTGATCCGGATTCTGGAACCGTGAGTCTGCGATCGCCGTTAGACCGCGAGTTGGGTCACCGATTGTTCTGGTTAACAGTGGCCGCACAGGACGGCGGCAAACGCATTGGTTTATCCAGTCTTCGGGTCGCAATCACCGACGAGAACGACAATAGTCCGCATTTTATTGTTGATGAATACAAGACATCAATTTGTGCCAACTCTCCCGTCGGCGTTACAGTCCTGCCGGTGATGGCAGTAGACGACGACGATTACGCCGAAAACACTGTCATTCGGTACTCGATATATGAGTCGCAGAACACTACCCGACCGTCGGGTAACATATTGGAGATGTTTGGCATCACCGCCGACACCGGACATGTTTACACCAAAAAGAATCTCAGCTCTAATGTCGGCGATATGATCCAGTTTTTCATCAAAGCCACTGATGGCAGTAGTCGTAAGACAACAAAAGCACTGGAAGATGTAGTACCGGTTAGCATACAGATTACCGGTTCGTGCGGTTTCGTCAAACGCCAGACCTCTGTGTACGAGATATTTGTCGACGAAAATACCGAACGCGGAACTGTCATCGCAAATGTCAATTTGGCCGGACTTCGGGACGTGGAACTGGTCATCATTGGGTTTGGCGACAAAGCCGATGCCACCAAATTCCGTATCGACAAACAGGGACGCATACATCTGACGGAACAATTGGATCGCGAACAACGATCCAAACATATGTTGACCGTCGAGTTGAAAGATAAGCAATCATTTGGGACCAGTTATCTGAATATATTGATCAACGTTATGGACCAAAACGATTGTGTGCCTTACTTTGACTCACCATCATATAGTGTGGTTGTATCCGAGGACCAGGAGATTGGGTCGTCTATAATGAAAGCGCACGCAATTGACGCCGACGTCGATGTATCCAATAGTGTATTAAAGTATACGCTTAAAGACAATATTAACGAAATGTTTTCCATCGATGAGAACACCGGTTGGATAACACTTAACAAACGATTGGACAGGGAGTCAACGGTTATACATAATCTGACTATTGTGGTAACAGACGGAAAATTCTATAACTCAACTGCTTTTAATGTTGTGGTCTATGATGTCAACGATAATCAACCCATTGTGAAGAAGTCATATATGGCATCCATCTATGAGAACAGTCCCATTGGAACTATCATTGTGTCCATCGATGCCGTAGATTACGATCAGAATTCAGAACTCAGTTTCTTTATATTAAGTGGTGATCCATACAATCAGTTTGAAATCGGTAACGACGGCGAGATATCTATCAGTAAACTGTTGGACAGAGAATCTATCGACCGATACCTGTTGGAAGTGATTGTCAGTGACGGCAAATATACGTCGAAAACAATGGTCACAATAGATATACTGGACGTCAATGATAACGGACCCATTTGTCTTAAGTCGAAGTACGTTGAATTAGTTAGCGAAGCGGTTCCCGTCGGTACTTATATATTAACAGTTGAGGCCACGGATGTCGATGATGGAGACAACGCTAAGCTATATTACTTTATTTCGGGCGGCGATGCGGACAAGTATTTCACGATTGATCCACAGACAGGACACTTGAAGACTAAAACACTGTTAGACAGAGAGACGCGACCGTCTTATCAGTTTGAAGTGCATATCAGTGACGATAAACGACGTGACTGGAGCTGTAAGACGGAAGTGGAAATTCTTTTGAGTGATGTGAACGACGAGTCGCCGAAGTTTTCCAACGGATATTATACGGTTAATGTTCCCGAAGACTCGACAGTCGGTATAATTGTAGGAAAAGTGACGGCAACTGATGCCGATCTCGGTATCAACAGACGGGTCAGGTATTCGTTAGAGACTAAAGTGGATGAGTTCGAGATAGATGAGCGCAGTGGTATCGTACGGTTAGCCAAACTGTTAGACAGGGAGACACTGTCGACGTACAATCTGACCGTCAAAGCCTACGATTCGGGCGCTTCTCAACTCTTCACTACTGCACAGTTCATTGTTAGTGTTATGGACATCAACGACAACGCACCCGAGTTTGAGATGCAATCTTATTTGGCGAATGTCACCGAAAGTTCGTCGATCGGTGAAGAAGTTTTGCGAGTATACGCCACCAGCAAAGACACGGGAATTAACGCCGAAATTAAGTATCACTTACTCAGTGGTAACGAAAACGGCAGCTTTTCTATCCACCCAAAATCGGGCATCATTTCGGTGTCCAAATCATTAGATTACGAGTCAGTTCGCGAATACTTTATGATTGTCAGAGCCGAAGACGGAGGAATACCGTCGCTGTCAAGTGAAGCGCACGTCACCATTAATATCAGAGATGTCAACGATATGAGTCCACAGTTTGTTCAGCGAACCTATGATATTGTTATACGAGAGGATTCGCTAGTCGGCGACCGAATCATCCAATTGGTTGCCATCGATGGAGATTCACCCGAAAATGCTAATCTTAGCTATTCTTTCACCGGAGGTTCTCTCACTTACAAAGAGTTTGAAATTGATCCCATTTCTGGTATTATAACTGTTGGCAAACAATTGGATCGCGAGATGATTTCATCCTATATTCTGGAAGCCATATGTAATGACAACGGAAAACCAAAACCGCTATCGAGTTCTGTCTTTGTTAACATCGAGATCTCTGACGCCAACGATAATCCACCGGTTTTTGACAAAATCAATTACACACTATATGTCCAGGAGGGCCGATCTATTGGCCATTCACTTATCAACTTTAACATACAAGACGCAGACAGTTCCGCCAATTCGGGACCGTTTAGTTTGAAGATAATATCTGAAGATTACAACAACAGTTTTAGTTTGGCTAACGAAGACTCGTCGTTGCGAACAAATGCAGTATTTAATCATACATTACAAGCAAATTATTCGCTGACCATTCAGGCAACCGATTCTGGAACTCCTGCTCTTTCGACTAATACTAGTGTCCATATATTTGTGACACAAGAGCCACGAATCCCACCACAATTAGTACCACTGTCTGTGTCGGTCAACTCGATGGAACAGTTTCCCGGCGGTATCGTTGGACAGGTGACCGCTACCGATGACGACCCGTTTGACAAATTGAGTTACTCCATCACCAATGAGGACGACAAACACTTGTTCTCTATTGATCTGACGGACGGCACATTAGTAGCCTTTCCCGGACTGGACGCAGGAAAATATAAGATCAACGTTACGGTCAGCGACGGCAAGTACTTTACGTATGGTTTGATTGATTTAGAAGTGACTGTCATTTCCGAAGACATGATTGAGAACAGTGTTGTCGTTGAGTTGCGATCGATATCAGTGAAAGAGTTTCTTACAAATTATAAGAAAACTTTTATTAGAGTCATGAAGAATGTGTTTAACGTCCGAATGAAAGACATTGTTATCGTAAGTATTCAACCGACAGATCACAAGAATCCGAATAATCGATTGCGAAGAAGTCACGAAACACTCGGCGATATTAGCGTATTGTTTGCTGTTTCGCGTACTCGCGGCGGGTATTACTCGAGACAGTGGATCAAAAACAAAGTGGCCGAAAGTAAATCGGGTATCGAGAAACAGTTGGGTATATTGTTGGAGGATTTTATAGTGAGATCCGAGTGCCAGCACTTGAATTGCAAACACGGCGAATGTAGGGATGATCTGATTCTCAGCGAAAACGACATCATATCGATAGTGACATCGAAGTTGAGTTTTGTGTCGCCATTTCACGAACACCGATATGGCTGTGCCTGTCATCCAGGTTTGGACTCAATAGAGTGATAACTTTAAATAGTAGTTTACTTATTGATTCACTTATTTATAGGATTTGGTGGAAAGTTATGTGAAGTCATTGTGAACGAATGCGCCCGCAATCCGTGTCCATCATTTAAGGAATGTCTTCCAGTGTCATCACCGCTTGGCTATCTGTGTCAGTGTCCGTTTGGGAAGTCGGGTCCCGGTTGTAATCAAAATGCCGAGACGTGTCATACCAGCGATCGTGACGTCTCTTTTTGTTACGAAGGTTTGTCTCAATAAAAAATTTATTCAACAATTTCTGTAACTTTTTGTTCGTTTGGTTTTTGCAGAACTGAATCCAATATCATTTCAAGGAAACTCTTACGCGAGATATTCGTTCCACAAGAAGGTCGAGAAGATATCATTACGTTTCAAGAGTCAACAGTTGAGAACTAATATATTCACACAAAGTGGCGACAAATCCTATAACATACTCGAGGTTTGATTGTAAATCAAGAAACAATTTTTTAATTAAATGACTAATAATTGTTTTTTTTCACCGAATAGATCGCCGGCGGATATATTCAATATCGATTTGACTGCGGAAACGGTGAAGGATTGATCCGAATCGAGAATCTTGTTGTCAGTGATGGCAAATGGCATGAGATTCTTGTCGAGAGAAAGGGCAATACGGCATCGCTAACATTGGACAGGAAGTATAGGGGCGGCGGGTTTGCCCCGGGACTGGCCGGATGTATTGATCTCAATGTGGATATGTTTTTTGGCGGTTCGGTAAAACCTCGTTCAAATGCCATCGGTGGCGAAGAAATAACACTCGGCTTTATTGGCTGTTTCGATAACATTTTGATTAATGGCCTACAATTACCGTTACACATAGCATCGGTATCATCGGCTGCCGTATTAAAGACATTGGCAAACGTTGAATTTAGCTGTAATTTTAAGCCCGACACCGGTATCTGCAAATCGCAACCCTGTCTTAATGGCGGTACGTGTCATAACCTAATCAATGGTTCCTATCAGTGCGTGTGTATTGGTCCCAAATATCGGGGCGTCAACTGCGAGATCGATATGAGTCCGTGCGATTCACTTCCCTGTATGAACGGTGGTCTCTGTCGACATGACGAAGCCCTCTGCAAACAAGGAGTGACCAACTGTTACAAATGCGAGTGCGGCCCCAGCTTTACGGGTATCAACTGTCAGGTGCCGCGCTTCTGTTCCTCCAATTTGTGCCAAAATGGCGGCGTCTGCGAAGAGACCAGTTTGGGACCCAAATGTCACTGTCATACTGGTTGGCACGGACTCTACTGTCAGTATGATATTGACGAGTGCCAGCTGTCCACACCGTTATGTCTGGCGCCGGCCACCTGTATCAATCTGCCCGGTACATTCCGATGTATTTGTCCGGCCAATAGCACCGGTGTCTCGTGTAATGGCGACGGACTGTACGCTACTAATATCATATCATCGCAACTTCACATTACAATGGATGAAATCATTGGTATCTTCATTGTGCTGTCCGTGTTGGCCGTCACGGGCTTCATATTTGCCATTTGCATGAAATGCAAACACAAGTCACAGACGCACATCAATCACAATAATCGGGATCAAAACCAACGATTACTTAAGAATGTGGCCAACAATGACGTTAATGTCAACTTAAAGCGCTTCTCAAAGATGAGTAACATCGAGATGAGCCATACGGGCGGAGTCGGCAAAACATATCAACAGCAACAACGGCCCACTTCTTGTGCCGAACCGATGCTCAACAATTTGGATCAGTACATCACACCTCAAGAAGAATGCGAAACCAATTTGTGTCCAAACGATATTAATTTGAGGCAAAATTTTACGAAGAAAAACGCACCGATTGCTAGCGTTTCGCCACAAATTGCAGAATCTAATCAAAAGTCTTCAGCAAAGCCAGACTCTAAAAAACAAATCAAAATACTTAACGGTTTGTAAATATTAAAACTAATTCATTCAAATGATTTTAATTTTTTTCTTTTGGATTTAAAATGTCATCAAAACAGACGCCAAGTCACCGACAAGTAAGGCGTCTACAGCTCCGACCAGAGCTTCCTTATGTGATTCCGATTCCAATGGTAAGCCTTTCTTCTGTTAACTGTTTTTGTAGTGTTTTCTATGTTTATCTGTATATCAAATCTTTTTTTTCGGTTTTCGGGTTTCATAACAAAATAACACATTTTTCTAATTCATATGTCTTATAGTCTTCACTGAAGATCAAATTAGTCAAACTAACTCACAGAACGTCGTCGACGGTATTAACTAATTGATTGAATGAATTTTTATGACCACTCATTACTAATTCAATTATCAATTTATTAAAAACATTACCGTAGGTTACCATTGGGACAGTTATGATTTGGCCCAAAGTGACGCTAAACATACGTACGGGGTTTCCGTCAATGAGATCCACGACTTAGAGTCAAATTCAGATAACAGTCAAATAGAGCTTTCGTGTAACGGTTCGCACGACAGGCCGTTCACCGACCGGGATGTGAGCCAAGAGAACTCACCGCTTTTGTCCCGCAATGAAGACCATCTGGAGATACCATTTGCAGACAATTCGGAGCCGTCGTCGCCACAGAAATATCTTGATCTCTATCTACCGAATCTGTCGGACAACGAGTGGTCAAACAATAAACGCAAGAATATTCTTACCTATACTGAGACCACTGATTCAATCGCTGAGAATATCAATTGCGAAGAAACTTCAAAACTTAACAAAGACTGCAATAACGGCTGCGAAGATCTTATCGATGACAGCGAAGACGGCGACGACTTCGATGAATCCCATCAACAGTCGACTTATGTTTAGACCAAACAATTGATTTTTTTAACGATTGACTACTTGATTGATATCAAAATATTTATTATTAATAGCTTTTATTAATAGTATTATTATAACATTATTTGATATAATTTTTATTGTTTTTAATTTAAATAATTTTATATATGATATATATTTTTAGTGAATGAAGTGAAAAATCAAAAAATCAAATTTTTACTTTAAAAAAGTGATTATATAATTATGTTTGTTTATTTATTTATTATTAATAATAATTTTTAAACAAATCAATTGTAAATTAATTGTTTTTTAAGTCTTTCTTAATTATATACATTATGTTTATTAGGAGTAAATACAATTACATTGCATTTTAAGTTAAAACAAAATCAATCATTTTTGTAGTTAATAATAAATACATTTATACAGTATTTAAATACAAAGCAGCATATTATATACATATAAACTATTATGATATCTATTATTAGTATTAATAATATTTGACAATTTTTTTTAGTTATTTAATTATTTATTTGTAAGACAAACATTTTTAGTTAAATGAATGTAAAAAACAACAATTTTAGAAAAATAGATTCAAAGAGTAAAATATATATATAAATTGTTTTAAAATGTGAAATAAAAAATATATCTATAATGAGTTATTTGAAGCAAAAAATTTTAAGAAATATTATATAAAATTATACTTTTTTGTACTACAATTTAATAATAATTATTATTGCCATATATTTTCACAAAACATAAATTCATAAAATGTAATTATAATTTGTATAGTATTTAAAACAATATATTAAAAAGTGATAGAAATGTAATGAAAAAACAAAATAATTTGAAAAATAAAATTTTATATTCAATAATAATATATTTAATTATTTATTTAATATTTTTTCTTTGATAACTTTATTATTTAATCGTTTATAAAATAATATTTATATTATAAACTCTTACTCAAAATTTGTAGTATTTTATGTTTCAATTTAGTGCATGTAATTTTATACTAAAAATAATTATAATCAATAATACATTATAATTACAATAATTTACAATATATTGTTTTATAAATTATAATAAATTAGATATATCGTTTTAATTTATCTTTATTTTAAATAATTTTTTTGTATTGCAATTAATATATGTTATAAAAAATATTGAATTATGAGACTTACTTTTATGACTTTAAAATAAAAAATATAATGTAATTATAATAATGAGTATTGGAATATATATATTTAATTTTTTTTAATGCTATTATCAATATATATATTATTTAAAAAATAAATTAAATATGCACTAATAATAAATAAAATACTTAATCATAATTATAGAAATGTTTTACAGAAACACTTATTAAAACAAATAAATTTTTATTTTTTTTGTAATAATTAAATTAAAACTATTTATTTTAATTATTTTATTACTTGACGCACAATTTAATTGGTTTAAAGTCTAATAATAATTACTATTAATAAACATTTGCTAAAACATTTTGTGTGACTAAGTGTGCCGTGAATTTTGATGTTTAATTTTTTCTATAGAAAAAAACAGTTAGTTTATGACCCTTTAAAATATATTTTATTATAGCGATGTAAAAATAATTTATTTTAGTATAAGTTATAACCCGTTCCTCTCTTTCTTTTTCACTCTTTATATCTCAACCCCTATTGTCTCCATCCCTGACATGACTTCCGTTGCAAATGATGTGAAACCTTTCTCTCCAGATGTGTGTCTCTCACTCGGCATCACTTGATGTTTGACTGACGTTAAGGTTTTTTTACATCAAAATATATTGTAACGAAAAAAATTGAGAGCTTTTTAAACAATTTTAATTTTTAAACTCAAATCTATTGATATATATATACTGACAAAAAATTTCATTTTTAGTTTAGTATTTTCATATAATAATATTTATAATATACTTCTAAAAATCTTTATTATTGTATTCAATATCCAAATAAAAGAAATAATTCTATTAAGTGCTAAACAATGAAATAATCGTCACTTAAGTCCAGATTAATGTTTCAGAAGTATAATATTATAAATTTATGTGTATTTATGTAAATATTAATAATAGCGTTATATCTATGTGTGTGTGTGTGTGTGTGAGAGAGAGAGAGAGAGAGAGAGAGAGAGAGAGAGAGAGAGAGAGAGAGAGTAGTATTGAAAGTTTTTAAATTAATTTAAGCAATCAATGAGATGAATGAATAAATCATTTGAGCGATAATTTTAGGTTAACATAACAACACAAATGTGTTGTGATTTAGTTTTGAATGAAATCCAAAAGAGATTTCAGTTGACATTACTATATATATTGTCTGACAAAACAGTCGTCTCTTGTATTTCTTCTCCAAAAAAAATCAGTCGATTCTTGTGATTTCAAAGTTTAAAAAAAGGAAATTTTATTGATTTTGATTTCTTAGTTAAAAAATTAATAAAATAATGATAAAATTAAATATATAAATTAATTATTAGTAAGCATTTATATTTTGAGTATCAATTTAATTGGGATTTTTATTATAATTAAATGCAAATGACATGATTTTTTCTTATTCTTGAAATGTTTTTACTTTATGTTATAATTAAATATTATCGTTAAAATTGTTGTAATTATATGTATATATATTTTTAGTAGAGTTTAGTTAATAATTTCTTAGTATTTTTAAATTATTCATTAAATACACTAATAATTTTAATAAATAATATTTTCTATAGAAATTACTCCGAATCAAAGTTATGCATATTTATCTGATGAGTATTTATAAAAAACAAAAATTAATTAGTTTATTCAAACATAATATTATCAAACTATAATCACAAAATTAATGCAACAAAAATTTTATAATAAAAGTTTGTTATCGTAGTATCATATTTATTAACATTTAAAAATTAACTAGTTTATATAGTAGTTTTTAAATATTTTCAAATATTTTTTTTACAAATAAATTTTAATTCAATTTTATACTGTACAGTTTATATATATAATTTATATATAGCATTTATTATAAAATTAATATTACACAGTTTTAATAATAATAGTTTATATACTTTTATAAAGTATTTATATTAGTAATTGAGACAAATATCTCAAACTTTTTATGTTTGATTTAATGTATGTCAAGGAAAATGCATTTCACAACTGAAACACATTTCCCAAAGTTATTGTTAATGAAATATAAAGTATTTTGTTAGTCAAAAGAAAAAAGATATTCTGATATTATATTTGTGAGTCAAACAAATTTTTACTAAAATTCTTTCAATATTCTACATTGTTTTAAAAATTAGACAAATTATTTAGTTAAATATATTTATTAATAAAATATGAGATATTTTAGGCATATAATCAATAATTTGTTGTTTGTCAATAGATTTTGTTTGAAGCATAAAAAACAAAACTGAAAGCAAATAAATAGACTGAATCATCAAACAAACAAAAGTTTTTGGATTCACAATAAACACAATAAATTATTTGTCTTTTTATAATACAGTATCATAACTATCAATATATTTGAAAGATAGTGAAAATAAAATAACAATGACTGCAATGTAGTTATCTTTGTATACAAGTTGTCAGATCTTATCCATATTTGAAATCTATTTCAGACACACACACACACACACACACACACACACACACACACACACACACACACACACACACACACACACACATACATACATACATATACAGCCGTAATTTCAGTATAGAAAACATATACAGTATAACAATTTCTTATGTTAACATAAAAGTTTTTAGAGACAATAAAAATTTCACTAAACACTTATCGATTACCCGATATTTGATATAAAGCCAAAATGTTTGGTTAAAATTATTTTAATGTCTGCATTTGCAGTGTATAATACAGTATATACAGTATATTAAAGAAAAAACTGCTATAAATTTTTGGTTTATACTCTCAACTCTTCTCAAAACAATCCTAAAAAAAGAGTGAAAGTATCACACAATTCTCATAATAAGTAAATGAAACACAAAAAAATCATTTGCACAAAGTGTTGCACTAAAATTTATAGCTATTATAATAATTATTATTTATTAGTGAACAGTAGTCCTTTAAAAAATAATATAAAGTTTTTTTACGTAAAACATATTTAACTTTATAATTTGTGTGCGCATTGAAAATGTGTGACACAATCTAACTATCAGTCTCTCTCTCTCTCTCTCTCTCTCTCTCTCTCTCTCTCTCTCTCTCTCTCTCACACACACACACACACACACACACACACACACACACACACACACACACACAGACACACATAGACACACACATACACACATACACACAGACAGACAAACACACACATACACACACATACACACACATACACACACATAGACACACACACACACTCACACACTCCTTAGCCAGAGTATGTGTTTCACTATTTCTTTCGACTAATTGTCAGAAAATCAGTTTATTTTGTCTCAAGTTCTTAACTAAACTGAGAATATATTCTGTATATTCTGTCGTTTGTTTCTATCAATTTATATATATATATATATATAGAGTATATATTACATATACAAGTGATTAAAAAATGTTATTTCAATGAATTTTTGTTAAAACTAATTTCGTGTTTTAATTTTTAGTTTTTTAAAAATTTCAATCACAATTCAAATGTCTTATTATCCTATGATAACAATTATGACTAGTTTTCCAAAGCATTCGGGTTTTTATAAGTTTATCGGAACAGCAATAGTCGTAAGTTATTTGTTATTAATTGATAACTAATGTATAATAACACAATTATGTATTTTTATAACATTTTGTAAAATAAATGAAATCTACATAATTATATATATTATTATTTTTTAAATACCAGAACTTAAAAAATAGCTAAAAAAACCTTTTGCAATAACTATAAGTTTAACTCTAATAACAATATATATTATTTTATAGATATAAATAACTTTAAAATTTACAAGAAAATCCAATCTAAATAATATATTATAAATATTACTATTAAAATTAGTTAACAATATTGTCATCGATGGCCATTATTGCCGTAAAACGTTGTCACTCGGGAGTGGCCACTGAAGATGAAACAAAATATATGAAAACATTAGCCGATCGGCAACAATACATATCGTCTTATTTCACAAAATTTCATATATTGCACACAATTGTACTAATTTGTGGTTCAATTATAATAATCTACGGTTTTATAGATTTAGTTTCAACCGATGATGAAGATATCAAATATGCTTTTCATTTCATTGTACGTTAAAAAAACTGAAAATATTTCCTCTCATAATATTATTATAAATATTAAATTTTTATAATAGCTATATATTAAGACAACTAAATTTATTACAGCTTTAATTGTATTTTTTTTATAGTCCGTGTTTGTGATTTTCATAGTATCAGTGCTGAGCCTATACGCAGCGTTCACGGCCTACGAAAAGCCGTGCACATCGACACCGGACAGTACGTGTTGTCAGGTAATAGCGGCGCCCAAACTGTTTGCAGTGTCCGATCGGCCGCGCGTTACGGCCTTCAGTGAAAGAGACACCTCTATGATTGCAGTCATAGCATTGGACGGATTGGCCGCTATTCTGCTATTTTTGACGTCTGTCCTCTATTTTGTCGATACCCGACGCGACGCCAAACTGTCCGGTTATTTAGAAAAAGTACATAACAGTAATTATTTATCACGTGTCTAAAATTGTTATCATTGTCATTTTTGTTTGCTTGTTATAAGCCATATAATTAATTTTACATGAATTTCTATTGTTTGATATGTACTGTATGTAAATATATATTGAATTAAGTTTTATGTATTCGTATTTTGGATTAATATGTAATTTAAATTTAGCAGAAATTAATTAAGCATTAATTTTTTGTTTATTGTATTGTATCAAAAATAAGTAAATAAATTTTCTAATTAAAAAATATATAACTAATGTTTACTCATTAAATATAAACATATAGTATATATATACACGTATAGTCATGTTAATTGTTTTTATAGAAAAAATAAATTACAGTATAAATTATACTAGATGATGTTTTAATAAGTAATTTTTGACAGTAAAAATAATTTATTAAAAAAATATAAATACTGTTTGTAATATATATACTGTATATTTAATAAAAAAAAGTGCTAAATATTTCATATTAAAAAAATAATTATTAATTTAAAAAATTGTTTGATGTACAGTACAATAGTTTTAAAATTGTCATAATTCTAAATAGACTGTAACAAACTTTATTATAAAAAATATTAATAATATATTATATGATATTAAGTTTAAATTAGTTAAAATCACTAAAAAAAAGTTATAATATTATCGATAATTTATATAAATTTATATTACTTTAGAATAGCATTGAGAATCTCATAAGGAATCTGTCAATTGATAGCACAATACAAATATAATATAAAGTGTTTGTATTACTTGTTGAACGAATGAAATGCCAGTCAAATGATCAGCTGTTATGTCAATGCATTTCAATGAATGAATGACTGATTCAAACATATAATGTGTTTGAATAACACATAAACAGTGTCTCACTCTGTGGTCAATACAATCAAAGTGTTTGTGTCACTGATTGTCAACAAAAACAGTGTTGTAATCAAGTAATGGTCAACACATCCGACGTTTACCACAAAAAAGAGGGTTTCAATTCACAAAACAGTTTTCGTCTCCGGATGTGTTGGGCTGTTGAACCAAATTGACAACACGATTGTCTTCAAACCATCGATGACACCGACATTTGTAGTCAATCGACAACTGTTTTATCGTTTTTTGATTGTCGACTGAAACCCCGCGACTGCCGCCAACACCAATAACATCGCGATGTCTTCGCTAACTGTACGTCAACTGAAGCACCCGCTGTTAGTGACAAACATTTGCTACTCGATGACCACAGTTGGCGGTCGATCATTGATGTCGCCGACAAAGTGTCACAAATGGCACAGACATTGGTCTTCATCGACGACTTCGACATTCAACGACAAATCATTATCAACGCTTGTGTTGTCCAAACTGAAGATCACATTACAACAACAACAGACAGCACTGTATTGTTCATCGAGTAGTACTACCGATAAGCCGCTGATAGATACGACCAATAAAACCGAGGACACTAAAAGTGACGTCAAAGATAAGCCACTGACGAAACCTCTAAACAAAGTGACCATAAATGAAGATATTAAAGGTATTGTTCACTGTTTTTGGTTTTAAATCTATGATTAAAACGCTATGATTTGATTTCATCCAATTTAGTTATACCAAAGTCAAGCAAAGATCGGCCCAAATTGGACTACACTATGACCACTGGCCGCAACTTTATAACACCGATCCGTGCGATGAACGAGTATTTACTAAAACCCAGCGATTTGAATGATTTGAGAAAATTTCAGCGAAGAAGTCCCTACGCTAATGAACCTCCGATTACTGTTTACTTGAGGAAAGACATCGAAGCCAAGTATGTCTTGGAATATATAGATTCATATTTTTTATTGAATTAAAAAAATTGATTTCATTTTCATCTACAACAGAGCTCTTCAAATTTGGGGAACATTTGATTCCTTACAGAAAGCGTTGGCCATTCGTAAAGAAGAGGAACAAAAGTATATCGACAGTCAGTTTTTCCGATTATATATTCCTATTATTTTTTTAATAAATATTTTAGTGATATTTTATTTTGATTGTCATTTCATTTGTGTTTTTTAAAGGTATATTTCATGTGAAAAAACTTTTAAAGGACTTTAAGAGACAACACGATCCCGAAGCTAAGGTCAGGAGTTTTTTCTAAAAATTGTATAAATTTTTAAATAATTTAAACTAACAATTGTCTGACAGCTTAGGGATGATATACTGCGTGGAGCCGGAAGAGTTGTATTATCAGCTGTTTGTATGTATGTTTCACAACAAAAGTTAAAAATAAAAAATTCCTTTATTTACCGGTAATAATAATAATTATTATTATTTTAACCAGAAATGGAGCCAACTTTTTATTTAAAGCCCTGGCCTGGCTATACACCGGTTCCCACTCGTTATTTGCCGAAGCTATCCATTCTTTAGCTGATACATGTAATCAATTGATTCTTGCTTTTGGTATACGAAAGTCCCTCCAGAAAGCCAATGAAGACCATCCTTATGGCTATCATCCCATGCGTTACATTGCATCACTTATTTCGGGAGTCGGCATATTCTGTGCCGGAACTGGTCTTTCATTTTATAATGGCATCGATGGTCTCCTCCATCCCGAACACATTGAATCACTTTATTGGGCTTTCTTTATATTAGGTGGTTCTCTGATATCAGAGGGCGGAACACTACTTATTGCATTAAATGCCGCCCGTAAAGGTGCTCAGAGAGCCGGCATGTCTATCAAAGATTATATCTACCGAGGACAGGATCCCAGTATCAATGTAGTTTTATTAGAAGATATGGCAGCAGTTATCGGTGTGACCATTGCCGGCACCTGTATGGGTTTGACCACTTATTATAATACTCCAATATATGACGCCGTCGGTTCGCTAGTTATCGGTAGTCTATTAGGAGTCGTCGCGTCGTTCATAATATACACAAATAGTGGTGCACTTGTAGGCCGTTCTATACCACCTAAACGACTCCAAGAAATTAATAAACAGTTGGAATCCGATATTATGGTCAGAGCTATACATGACGTTAAGGCCACTGATATGGGCAATGAAATGGTGCGATATAAAGGTTTGCCATTGATTTTAAAAATTGAATTAACGGCTAATAATAATAATTACTTAATTAATTGAAATATTTTTTCCCAATTGATAGCTGAGGTAGACTTTGATGGTCGTACATTAACCCGACATTATTTAGACACAATTGATATGGAAGCACTGCTTAAAGTTGGCTATTGTTATATTACAATACATTAATATATGAATAAAGTAGGATAAGTAGGCTAACTGCCGGTACTTTTGATATATTTTTTAGGAGATGCAGGGCTTGAACTCAATAGAAGATGTCGAGGCGTTTATGTTAAAACACGGCGAGAATATAGTAGATCTTTTGGGCGCTGAAGTGGATCGCATTGAAAAGGAGTTAAAGGTTTGGCTAATGGTTTTTTGATGATAAAAATAGATATAAACTGTATTTTTAATAATAATTCAAACTTTTAATTATAATATTTAATATTATAATACAGAGAAGACACCCTCAGGTACGACATGTCGACTTAGAAGTCCTTTGAAGACTACTATACAATCTTAAGTTAAAGGTTTTTGGCCGTCGGGTTTGTATCAAACCAAACGGTTTACCACTTGTTTTCAAACAAATTTTATTTTTGTTTAGTTAACTTATTTTATAATTTATATATATATATATATCAATTAATAAAACTAACCGTTATTTATAATTATATAATTTTTTTTGTTATAAATATATGTATATATTTATAATGTACTGTATTTTATATTTATATATAGTGTATATGTGTAATGTCGTAAGTTTTTTGTGCACATAATATTTGAAATCAGAAATTAGGCAAAAAAACTATTCGACAAAATAAAAAGTGATAAAATAAATAAAAATATTGAAACAAAAAAAAAACAAGTGAAAACTTAGCTTAAGTGAAATTAATACAAAATTTGATTTTTCTTGTTTTTTGTGTTTTGTTGTTATTATTTTATCGTCAAATTTAATTTAAATATCTATACATACAATAATGATTTGTTTAGTCACAAGAAAAAATTAATAAATTCACTAAAAAATGACAACAAATTTAGATAAATTAAATAATAATAAGAATATATGTACGAAAAAAAACAAAGAAATTTAATACAATACGGATTTATACGGCAATAGTTATATAATATAATAAAGAGAAAGTTAGAATTGGATAAAATGAAAATTACAATTATTACAATAATAATAATAATATCAATATATATATATTTATAATATATATTTATATACTGGTGTTAATCTCAAACACATATATGGTTTGAGTAGACATTAAGACTCCTTTTTGGTCTCCTTTTCCTCGTCTTCGCTAAAGTTAAGCCAACTCTGTTCGACGATAGCGGCCACCCGTTTCTCGTAYTCGCGTCGGTTCTCCTGATAGAGCTGTGCGGCCAAACTGTTAGCCGGACTGTTGGGATTCGGTTCGTCCAATAGTGACTGTATTGATGTCAGTATCGCTGACACGTCATAAGTAGGACTCCAACGGTTCTGTAGTATATCTAAACAAATACTTCCGTCGGCATAAACTAATCAAATCATAACAAATRAAAAAACAATTAATTAATTTATCTATTTTCTGAGTATAATATAATTTTTATATTTAATTTCATTGCTATTTTTGTACTAAAATCAATATACTTATAAATATGGCTACAATTTTTAAATTCTAAATATAGCTATTAATTTTTATTATTCATGTTATAATAATTATATATTAATTTAGATAACAATTTAAGTTATGTAATTTTATATAAAATATAAGTGATGCTAATAATAATTGGTTGCTATACCTAAATATTAAAACTTATATTATGTTTATTTGACACAATAGACTATTAAACTAATTGTTTAAACATAATTCATTTAAATTATAAAAATTACAATTATATAATAAAGACATTTTATTTTTTAATACAGAAAAACAACATTATCTCATAAGCTATGTTTTATCAATTAAAAAAATCTTTAAAAATAAGTTTTTTTTTATTAATGCATTACAGGTATTAGAGTCAATAATTATTTGTAATAAGTGTTAATGAGATTAATTTTATTTGCATTTTCAACAAAAACATTGGAAAACTACTTTAGAAAATTAGTTACTAAACAACTCTCAATTTAGAGAACCAGTTTAGTCAGCATTTTTATCAAATCATTTTTATATTATTTACAAAAAAAATATGGATGAAAATTGTTAAAAACATTTTAAAATGGCATGACTTATAAATATAAACACATATTTTATTAAGGTGTCATTGTACATTACAAAATTTGTTATTATAATTTTGATTTTAAAAAAAATCTATTTATCAATTGATCAAATTTGTGTACTTTTCACTCAAATTTTAAAAATCCAATTGTAAATTAAATTTTTAGTTTATATAATTAAATTGACAATTTTATTTACAGTCTTAAATCACGTGTCTAAACAATGATATTTTAAAGTTATGTCTGCAATTAAATTGAAGTGTTTATAAACAACACAAAAAAATTACAATCAAACAAATATATCAAATATCAATAATAAAAGAATCGATGGATAAATAATTCACTATTTATTTCAATAGAAATATTAAGAGAGCACTCAAATGAAAATTTTGTGAAACAGCTGTTCTCTCTCTATGTTTATAATCTTTTGTTGTTATTGTTATATTGAATTGTATATTAAATTTTGTAACATTTTCTGATATGTCACCAAATGGATTGACAAAATTTCATTTCAATATATATATATATATATTAGCCGTAATCTGGATAACAATCATCAACTTTCCCATTAATAGTATCAAAATAGCGTGCATTCAATTAAAATGAAAGCACAGGTAATCCTCTACTGGTGCTCTCAAATATAGGTTATATACAATACAAACTCAATAGACTATTACAATTAATCATCAATTATTTAAAATAAGTATTGTATCCAACAAATAATAGTTATTATTAATGGATTTTCATAAAATTAGACAACGAAATGTTATTAATTTCATATCATATTATATAAACACGATATTACAATATATGATATAATATGTTATAATTTTCTATTAAAAAATATTTATTATTAGCATATGTTATATATTAAAAAAAAACATAAGTTACGGAAAAGTTCATTTTATATAGAAATTAATTAACATTTTCTATTAACTATATAAACAATATTTTCAATGGTTTCTAATAATATCAATCAATGAACCTTTCAATTAATAAAATAATGCCTATAAATAAATGAGAAAAAATTCAAATAAAATATTTAAATATAAAATAAATTTTTAACGCTTTATTTAATGCAAAATATATCATTAAATAATTTATAAATTTGTATAATCATTTGTTATTTCAGTTTTAAAAAATATTTCCTAGCAATTAACTAAAGTATATACAGTATATTACCGGTAAATAGAAAATGCAATATTTTAACTTAATTATATTACTATAATAATCTAAATATATTTAAATAAATAGTTTTAATTAAGATGATTCCAATAATTATTTATACCATGGTAACAATAAATAGATAAATATTTTAAAAATAAATTTCAAATAAATGATAAAATCTAAACAATTACCATCAAAAATAATAAATTTTCATAAATTCAAGATTAAATATCTACCTAAAACAAAATATATAGTATTATAATGTATTTTTAAAAATATTTCATATATGACTTATCTAAAAATAGTTATAATTGAGAAATACTATATTAATGTTACAATAAAAGATATGCTGACAATTTGTTTAATACATACATAAGTTACATACTGTACTATTATGTAAAAATAAAAACCTACTTAAAACAATCATGTGATATAAAATTTATATACATTATTACTTCAATATTATACGTTATCATACATTATTGTACATAACGCCTGTTTAATTGCCCCAACGATACACATATACACTGTTTATACAAATAAATCAACAAACAAATAAAATTAATGCTAGTATTGGGAAATTATTTCTTTTTTAATAAAATAAATACAACATATGGTTTAAGCTAATACTAAAAAATATAAATTAAATGCACAAAATTGTTAGCATCAAAATGTGGGCAAATAACCAAAGCCTTGATCTTGGATTTGACTCACAATTTTCTCATCACTTGCTTTTGCAAACAAATTGTATAAACAAAATCAAAATTACATACACTTTCTCCTACACATCATAAGCGCATCCCAGAGCTCATAATATAGTACAGTATAGAAACAGTACTTTTTTGTAATTCAATAGTAAAAGCGTAACAATTACGATATTCAATTGTTGTTTAGTATATTATAGAAAAAATACTAACAATAACAACAATAAAAGTCCTTATATGTGTTGTCATTATTTTGTATATCATTTTATTTTTCAAACTAATAATAACAGTGAGCTCTCTCTCTCTAAAAATTAAATTTGTGTGTAAATAAATAGTTGTAATAAACCTAATGTTTAAAGGAAATGCTTAGAAGTGTGTGACTACCGCTACAACACATTCAGTAAAATATATTTCCCATTTAATTATTATTCATATTTAAGAAATTTATCGATTAGTTAAATATTATTTAATAGTATATATATTTGTAACCACTTCCGGGTGAAGCWTCTCATACTGTTTACCCATTTATACCAAAAACACTTTGTTTACTAATATTTGGTCTAATTTTTCTTTTCGTTTGCATTTAAATTGATATTACAGATAACAACATATGATATCTTATATTAATATATAATATATAGTCTCCTAACAAAAAAACTACATTTACTATAATGATTGAACAATTGGTGTCACAGAGAGTGATAGAGAGAGGACACCAGACACTTACCGTTCGGGTGAAACATTTTCGACACAAACCGAACCGTTGGCGGTTTGTTTGGGTATTCTTCGGTAAATTCGAGGGTCAATTTAAAAGTCCCGTCTTCGAAGGGAGTGTCACGAGGACTGGTAGGTTATTGACATAAATAAAAAAAGAGAAACAAACAAACGTTTTATTATCTATCAATTGATTGCAATTCATTTGGTAGACACACGAGTGTCTAAACAATAATTGTTTGGTCACTCGTTGATGATGTCCAGCAAGACTACTGACCCGAATATGACTGCATTCCATAGCATTATATTGTTATCGGTTGGCGCTCCGCTCACACCCGCCGGTGGATCCTCTTGTAGTCTAAGTTAGAGACAAAGAGATAAACACAATGGTTAGTCAATTAATGACTAATTTCAATGATATACAGTCTCAATGATGTCCAACAATGGCGATCAAAACATTGGGTCATCAATGGTCACCATATGATACAATATATGGATCAATGATTATCACTTCCATTACCTTTTAAAGTCTCTCATTAATCGTCTTCGAGCTGGTGTTGACATCGGGTCTTAGATGACGGTAAACAACACAAACAATAATAACAACAACAAAATCAATCAATCAATCAGACAATCAATTTGGTCTTCAAATGTCTTCTTCGCTATTTATCACCGCAGAAGAGTCAACACAGATTAAAACACTTAACAATCACTGAAATGAATGAATGTATTGATGAATGGATCCGTTGGTTGTGATGGCAGTAAATGATGGTTAAGACAAACAACAATAAAATGCAATTGTTTTTGATGTCGTGTGTGTTGTCTGTCTGTCTGTATATTGTTATTCAGTTTATATTAATATTAGTCTATAGTATAGACTATAGTATACTGTATTGTATTGAGAAATGTCTGCACAGAGAGTAGTATTGAGTCAATCATTGCATACATTAGTGTTGTTTCCAATGCACTGACTCTTACTCTCAAACAAATACACACACGACTGACGTCACACTAATATACAGTATATTCTATAGTAATAATAACTGCGTGTTTTAAATACCCTTAACATATGGGCTAACAATATATAACGTCAAATGTATATAAATCCCCCAACAGTTAGATATGCATACAGTTTAGTCAAATATATTTTCCTATTAGTTGAACGTAATTATTGACAATTTCAATACACCTACACTTATTATTTTACAGTATATTAATATAATATCACTGTTTTTAAGAGTTTTGATTTAATAAAAATAAAAATAATATTATAATTACTAATTAAAAAATAAAACAATTTATTTATTTATTTATTTTTGCCGTATTATTGATTCTGTAAATCAATATTTATATAATTATTTATTTTATAAAAATAATAATATAATGATCGTGTGTTACACAACAAAAATTTTTATTTATTCCCATTTTTACTAAAATAAAAGTTTCAGAAATTTACTTAAAATTCTAGAAAATTCTTACACTAAATAAATATATATAAATATTATCTCATATGTACTGTACGTATGATATGTACTGTATATACACTACACATACAATATCTCTCACTTAATCGTCACATGATTTTCAAAAGAAAACACAATTATTCATTCATTAAAGAAATAAATCAAAAAAAAAATAAAAATATTTAAACAAACAATTAAAAAGTTTTATTAAGATTATTAAAGATTTATAATATATTCACATTAAACGTGTATATTAATTAATTAACATAAAATTATAATAATTCATATTTTTTTTTAAAAAGTTATTTTTATTACCTTCTAATAAATGATGCATTACTTGATTATATTGTATATTACATAAATATTTCATAAGTTATTATATATATATAAATCTATAAATTTAGATGAATGTATAATAATTTTTTTTTTAATAGTATTATAAATTTGTTGTAGCATTTTCTAATAATAAAAAATATGCACCAAGCGTAAATTTTTAAAAAATAATTACTATCAATCTTATAAATTCTAATTAAATTTTTTGAATACTTTTGGTTTAGGTTATCTATAAAAATTTAATTATGTATTATTAGTTTATTAATAGATTAGTTTGAATTAGATATCACTTTTGATGAATTGATATGAAAATAATTTTGTTATATTAAAAAAAAATAATATTATAAAAGTTAACATTTAAACTTGATATTTATTTGTTTTTGAATGTTGCAATTAATTTCTATGTTGTTTTGCTAATCTTTATTTTGCAACAAAACACTGTTTTTATTGTTGTTGGTTTCATTTGTAGTATATTTAATATATAATGTTTTAATCACAGATTAAAATCTATGCTATCTTTAATATGAAATCTACATTGTTTTATATTGTATAATAAACTGTATATTATTAATTAATGTGAAATAAAATAGCTTATTTTTTTCTTATACTAGGTTACTAGAAATTCTAGTCTAATAAATACATTACAATATACCATAATAAATATATAATTATCATAGATCATTTATTTACAATTAAAAAAAATAATGAATTGATAAAATAATAAAATTATAAACATAGTGATATGTCCTTAATTAAATTAGACAATTTTATATTTGATTTGATTAACAAATATAAATAATTTTTTTTTWAAAACTTGTAACATAAATATAATTATATCAACTAGGATCATTAACATGGAATTTTACCGATATAATTTATATCCTAATCATATAACAATTTATATGTATTGTATTACATCCTACTGTAGTTATTAGTTATACTTTATTTTATTTTATATATCATATAATTTATATATACAGTATAAACAAGTGCATTAAATTATTAGTAAATTGTTATATAAACATAGTAATACATATTACTAATAAATGACGATAAAAAATATTAATAATAATGATAATATAAAATTAGATGATAACAATGATGATGTAGAAAATATTTATATAATCACTCATATAATGTATTATTTTATTTTATTTAGTTGATTGCATGAATTGCATGAAAATCAGACCCAAAAAATTCATATAACATTATACAGGGTTTGTTGTACAGCACTGTACACATGTATTGCCGGACAAAACACTGACTAAACATAATGTTATAAATATGTATTGAAGTGAAGTATGCATTGACTGTGTATTACTGTATTACTGTGTGTTTGTGTGTATACTTCACTGTGATATACGATATGTGTATTGAGTTAGTAATAGTAGTAATACTTGTAGTAGTATTTGATTGAAGACATGCATCGATAGTGAGTGTGTTTTGTGTGTATGTGTTGTCTAATGTTATCACACATTGATTGCTGAGTTGTCGCCTAAATCAAGTGCTAATCATAACCATCATCACTACCACCACTACCACCACCAGCATCGACACCAAACATATTGTCAGCCACGACAAGACATTGATTGTATCATATCATCTGCAGACACAGTCATACCATTTTGTCTTATTTTGTTGTCCATCATATCTATAACGTCTTTTAATCACCGGTTTTCAGTATAGAAGACATGAGTGGACAGTCATTATTACAAGAAATGAACAGACATTTTGCTCAATCAATGGCCACAAGACAACCAAAGAGTGATAGTTATCTTTCGACAAAATGTTACCGTTTTATCAAATGTTTAGCAAATAGTTTCTCACAATTGACGGCTACCGGTGGCCATCACCGCAATATTTATCTATTATTTATTTTAGTAATTGTCTCAATCACATCCATACCAACCATTAACTGTCATCCGAACGATACATTTATTGATAGCAACAATGATTTTATAGCTAGAGATACTGTCAATTATCCGGACAGCCGGTCCACTCTAGAAGTAAGTATCCGATGACTAATGTTATTGTCAATCAGTTAATATCAACAATAATATTAATTTTAAATTGTTAGACAATTATTAATAAGTTTATATAATATCCTAATCTATTGTCTTATTATTCATTATAATGAAGAGTGCCGGCGATGATGAAGACTTGTGGTCTCGTTTAGGTCGCCTCAAGTTTTTCCACGCATGGGTTGCATCGGTTTCGGTGATCATTGTGTCCGAATTGGGGGACAAGACTTTCTTTATTGCCGCCATTATGGCTATGAGACACGCGAGGAGTACTGTATTCTTAGCCGCAATGTCTGCTATTTTTGTTATGAATACATTAGCCGGTAAGCCATCATTGATCGCATATTTGATTGTCTCAATTAATTAGTAATTTCTTAATTSTTTTTTGTGTTTGTCTCCACAGTTTTACTAGGAATGGCCACAACAGTTATTCCCCGATTTATCACTCATTATGGATCTATTGTTTTGTTTGCACTTTTTGGCCTTAAGATGCTTCACGAAGGTATTTAATCGCCATTAAAATTAACAGTTTATTAATACTTAATTTGGATGTGTTTTATGAATTGTGAACCAACAGCCCATTCCATGTCCGAAGACGAAGGAAAAGAAGAGTACGAAGAAGTTCAGAAGTCACTCAGCAAACGAGAGACGGCTGATATTGAGTATAATGTATGTTATTGTTGTAGTAGTGATATATATACCGATGATAATTACAATTGATGATTGTGATGATATTGTTTTCATGGATCAGATGGTATCGACATCGAGTGAAGATCCAGAGACTGGTGTCATCAAATCGATATCGTCGGTACCATTTGTCACTCGTCTTCGTCGAAAACTAATGCTTTACGTTTCACTCGTTTTCATTGAGACTTTTACGATGACATTTCTGGCCGAATGGGGTGACAGAAGTCAAATTAGTACAATTATTTTGGCCGCACGGGAGGTATGATTAGACAACTACTATAAATACATGTTATTATTGGTGATTAACTTATATTTAATAATATATAAAATTGTATTTTTAAAAATATTAAGGATGTACTCGGGGTTACAATCGGTGCACTTTGTGGTCACTGTATTTGCACGGGTATAGCCGTACTGGGAGGTCGTATAATAGCACAGATGATATCTGTTAAAACTGGTATATATTTTTAATGGATAAATATGTGTGATTTAAAATTACCAATAATTTAATTAATTATTATTTATTTTCCATTACAGTCACATTTATCGGTGGAATTGTATTTATATTTTTTGCATTATTTGCTCTATTAATGAGCGAATGATATCATAAATCATGTTTTAGCACATAATGTGAATTAAGTTTATTATTAATTATTTAAACAAATTTTATAATTTAATTATCTATGCCATTGATTGTTAAATTTAATTGTTTTTTGCTATTTATTGAGTTTAAACACACTATTTTTAATGTTGCTTATCAATAATGTTTGCAAAAAATGTTAATTTGTTTATAGTCAAATTGCCAATTAACTAGGATATTGTATAAACTTTTAATTATTATAATTATTGCTATTTAAAATATTGACGTTTATTTTTATATAAAATAAAAAACATTTAATGTTTTGTATAATACTGTAGTATTGTATTAAATATTGAAAAATATTTTTATTTTTGTCATTTCATATAATATTATATAAACTATTTCTAATTATATGACCTTGATAATTTTTATATATAAAATAGGAAATTATTTTATGATACTGTTATCACTATTTTAATTTATCAGTACCAATTTAAGACGTAATATTAAAATTATCTTAGATTATTATTATTATGTGATTAATTAAACCAGTAAACTTTATCAATTAATAATAGTTTGAGTTTATTAATTTATAGTGTATTTTAATAATAGTAATCTAAATTCAAATGTGCTTTATTTACTGTAATAATATTTTATTTCGCGCCAAAATATAAATTATATTTTTTTATAAATAGTTACAAAACTACATAATCACAGATTTACAAAAAATTAATAATTATAAAAATCTTTCAAAATTTACAAATAAATATCAATAGTATACAAGTATACTAAAACCAAATTTAACAGTCATTAACTTATTTTGTATTTATTTTATATACATTATATACCGGTACATTCAATGCATACAATGTTTTATTTAAATATTGATTTTACTTATTTTGTTACCTTATATTTAATTAAAGCAAATTAATTTGTATGTGGGTGTGTTTGTTTAAAAAATTGTGATTGTTAAATAGACAATCTATTATGTTTATGTATTATTTATTTTTTGTTATAGAATTTGTACAGTAGCAATAACAACAGCAAAAAATAATTGGTATAATGTTTACTAGTAATAGGTAATTGTCAGATAAAACAAACAAATAGAGTCTACAATATTACAGTAGATTTATATACAGTATTGTCGTATATTTTATACATTATATGTATTGTATAAAAGTGTGAAATATTAAAACAATTCATAAAATTTGTTGATAAATAAGTAGTGCTCCGCACGAGTGCATCAGTACTCATACATACGGTATAAAGATAGCGATACCCTAAGGAGTGGTCAATAAATAGCAACTTTTCTTAACTCTTTTTTCTCTCTCTTTCTCTAATTATCATTGAGTTTCATGAAATATATATACATTAAATCATTAACTAAAATTGATTTTATTATTAAGCATATAAAATTTACAAACCTTACTGTATATTTATCAAAAAAGTGCTATTTATTTAATATGTTTTTTGTTTTGTTTACAATATATCTAAGTTTGTCAATTATATTAATATATATAAAGGACAGTAAGCGACCCCCATTACCGACCCCCGCATAGGAGTGGCTTTACGTGTGTATTAATATATATAAAAGACAGTATACGACACTCATTAACGACACCCACATAGGATATATACTGTGTGTGTGTGATATATAATATATACATCTACAGTACATGTATTAACATAACACACTTAAACACATTATAAACATTGATATCATATGTGAGACATACAGTAGGCAACACTTTTACAGAGAGTCTTAAAGAGTGGCGGCGGAGATGCTATTAATTACAATTATATGGTCAACAATACATTGAATTAAAAAGTGACCAAGGGCAATGTTGTAGATGATTTTAAACTAAATAAAATTGTAATTGGTCATTTTTAAATTAATTGTATATTTGCCAGATATATGTAAATTATTTAGCATATAATACAATTAATTAAAAAATGACCAATTATATATTTATTTATATTTATCTACATTGCCCTTGGTCACTTATTAATTCAACGTATTGTTGACCAGATAATTGTAATATAGCATCGCCGCCGACGCTGTTTAGATTATCTGACACTTTCACAAAGTTTTCATAACATTTCAAAACTAATATTTCAAATTATTTGTCGCTATTGTCTCAATAAATACTATCCTTGAATTAAAATATATTTATAATAAAAATTTTGATTTAATTTAATTAAAACGGGCCGTAATTACGGGCTTTAAAGTCTTGTATAATATATATAATTGACAAACTTATATATATATATATATATACATTGATTCCCATGATAATYGTTAATATACACATAAATAGTTAAATACAATGATCATATTTGTCGGTTTAGCATGTTTAATTTGTTTTAATAATTATCTATATGTAGATTAATTTATCAGTATAATTATCTAATGAATTATTTTTTWAAAAATAATTTTTAAAATAAAATTATATACAGTATAAATATATATATGAAATATATGTTAAACTTTGGTATAATTCATTAGCTTTGAAATTTTTATTTTCAAAAAAAGACATGCAATAATGCAATCTCCAGATCATCTGTTTATTGAATACTACAGTACTATAAAAAAAATCCAGTACATTATATTACTATTTTACATCAAAAATAAATTGAATTTGTAATTTTATTATCAATATATTTAGTGTTGAAACCTTTAAAAATAACATTTTTGTGCGAAAAAAATATGTGAAAAAGTACACACATTTAGAGAATTAGAAAGAAATCGACCAAAAAATATTTTCTAAAGTAATTTTTCTAAAAACTTTTGATAAAAGATATATTATTGCCAACAAAAATAGTATAAAAATTTAAGGCTATTTTGCTAAAAGCATACAAATTTGTAACAATAATAATACCTTTCTATTTTTGATACTGGGGTGTAGTCTTACTATACTTAAACTTATTTAGTTTGTTAATAATTTATTATATATTTTCGATATATCATTGATGACTGAATTGTGAAAATTTCTAATTTGAAAAACATTATAAAATTGAATGTGCTTAATTTGAAAATTTTGTAACATGTTAAACATATATATTTTTTTGTTTTAAATTTTTATGTTTTTATTTATTTCTCTAAAAAAATTAAGTTTAACAAAATTACGGTTTTCTTTATAATGCGAGTTATATAAAAAACCATAACAACACCAAAAAACATGAGTTATTTGTCTATTGAATCAGTTTAAAAAAATAGTTTATATATAATATACGTATATATTTTGTACACCAAATTTTACACTTTTAACTTTTATTGACCAAAAAAATATTGTCATTATTGTTATTATTATTATTATTATAGTTATTTTTCTAAAATATTTTGATGCTTTTCATGCCTTTCGTCAAATATTTTATATTATACTTTTATACAGTATTGTACTGTATATGAAAACACAATAGTGTATAAACTTAAAGGAAAGGTAGGAATGTCTTCACCGGCCCTTAAATTACAAGATTTGACACAACATTTCGTTTCATACTATGATTTTTGATAGAATATGAGTGAGTCATTGCCAGAGAGAGAGAGAGAGAGAGAGAGAGAGAGAGAGAGAGAGAGAGAGAGAGAGAGAGAGAGAGAGAGAGAGTCGTAACTAATTTTAACGGATTATTTGGAGAAAAAAATATCTTTAAAAACTTGACGTTGTTTAACACAATAATATAATGTTTTTACTGAAAAAACTATTGAAAGTAGAAAAATATCATTAGATTTATTTTTTCTATAAGAATAATAAAAATAATATGATTTCTTATGGTTTATATAAACCAAAAGTCTGTCAAAAATTAGTTTTAGACACACAATAACACACACACACTCACTCACTCACTCACTCACTCACTCACTCACTCACTCACTCACTCACTCACTCACTCACTCACTCACTCAACAAAATAACATATTTTATTAATGGTTGTAAAAATTCTTATGAAATATGTAAAGAATATGTAAAAAAATCTGTAAAATTATTTTATTTTTGTCTATTTTATTATTATATTAGAGAGAAAAATATATGATTCACTATTGATAGTAACTTTTAAACATATTATTATCATATAATATGAGTATAACCTAGCATAAATGATGTGTAAATAAAGCATGAAAAATAACAATCTTATAGCAAATAAAGGTAGTTTGTAATCTATATATTAACCCAAAGTTATACTGAAAATCATTATTATTGATATCTTATACTTAATGTTTTTTATACTGTATATTATGTTTACAGTATCATTATATAATACCTTTATATGAAAAAACATTTTGTTACAACATTTATCATTTATATTTTGAAGTATTAGAACAAACAATTTTTGTGAGATTTAAAAAGATTTAAGAAATAACAAAATTTTAAGTTATTCTTTAATTTTTAATTTAAATATAAAAAAATTAAATTTATATTAACGTTAAGCCACTTTCTTTATATATATTGTTAAATTATATTTAACTGATATATTCATTTATGAAAAACGAATAACAATCAACTAAAGCAAACAATTTTAAATAAAACTTTCAAAAAAATAAATATATTAAAATAACTGGTATTTCAAATTGTATACCTAATTTACATTTTTCGTTTTTTTCTCAATGGTGTTTTATGTGGTTTATAATTTTAGGACTATTTGAAAATACATTATAAATAGATAGGAGAATGAAAGCTAAAAAAAGAGAAAAATACTATTCAGTATTTTTTGTTTGTTTGTTTGATATTCAATTGATTTTTGATGCATTTAGATATTTTTTATGTATGTATTTGTGCGGTTAAACTCATATATTAGATGAAACCGTCGGTAAAAGTACCGTAAAAATATTCCGCCCATCGATTCATATATACATACTATACATAATTTTTTTCGTGAAGAGAAATAGTAATAATTTTGTGGTTAGAATAGCTTTGAATGTAATGGAAATGCAGAATATTCTGTAACAGAATATTCTCTTTTAGGTACTCTCTTTCTTTGTGCTCTCTCTCTCTCTCTCTCTTTCTTTGTGCTCTCTCTCTCTCTCTCTCTCCGTGTGTGTGTGTTATTGCATACCAACTGTTATATACAAAAATGTGTTGCCAAATGTAAAGCCAATTTCTGTTATATAAC